TTCGTTGTTGTCCTCTTGTGTTTTGTGTTCCACGTGGGTACGGTCGTCCGCGAAAACCGCCAATACTTCTTTGTGACTTTTGAAAACTTGAGTAATTGTGTCGGCCAAGTGTGTTGATATAGTGTAACAGTTCTTTTTTTGTTTTGGTTTGTCCTCCGAATGGATTTATCTTCATTCTGCGACTTTTCAATGCCGTTTTCCCGACGTATTGCATCTTCATACGCATCTTGTGGACTCCATGTTTGTGTCAGCAAGTACACAGGTTCTGAAAGTTCGACAAGTGGTGGTCTGGCTTTCAATAAGTTTCGTACCTCAATTCCATCCTTTGCAAATACTGCCATCTCCAGTATTGCTGCCCACTTGGACCACTCTAGTGGTGGTTCGACAGACGCCTTCTCCCAAAACAGGTTAATATTTAGTGGGTTTTGGAATATCCTGTTGACTGCGCCATGTCATGCCACTGTATAAGAATATCTAATTCTTGAATCCGAATGGATCGATAAACAGTAAGTCTCAATCGGAGCGGTGTAAAACAACTAGTTGATAGATAGTGTTTATTTTCGACTGAACAATAGTTCAAACATACTTCATCTTTTGTGCCTATCAAGGTCAAGTGACCGGCCAACTGATCGTTTAACATAAATTATAAATAATATAAATAACATATATTTATATACTGAGTTTATCGATCCATGCCGGATGACAGAGTTCCTGCAGAGGAAAACTTACAATGCAATAAGATGAAGATAAAGATCAATTGATTAGTTTTATTTCTATTTATTTCGAATCATTTCAGAACCTAGTCAAAGATTTCAGAACATAGCTACAAAATGCAAATCTTAACTGCATTTTTTTGCCTAACTACTGGTAACTCTACAATCTATGATGAAAAAATGTTGGATAGCTGATTTCATTTTTTCTCGAATGATTCCAAAAAAGTTCTGAAATGAAAAGATTTAAAAAAATGTGACTTCGATAAAAAAAAAATAGCTGGCACTGAATTGAAACCAAACTAATAGAGAGTTCAAAATGCTCTACTTTAAGAATCATCCGCTTGGTATCACCTCGTAGTCAAGAACACTCACGGACCAAAGTTTTTTTCGAGTTCTAGGTCTGTCTATTTAAAAAATTCCGGACTGTCAATTTATTGTTCTGACCACTGATAAAGCGATGAGTGAAAAGGCAAGAAACCTGTACAAAAATTATAATTCTGTCCTTTTTATCGGAACTTTGATTTTTTCTACCCTTAAAGTATCAAGGAACAGTTTGTTTCTTCTGGTTAAACTTGTTTATGCTTCAGCTCATTTTTTACTCTGAGCTTCCATTCCGTAAGCGGAACTCATTTTTTCGGTCAACTGATGTCGCTTGAAAATGTTTTGAAAATGTCTTCTTCTTAATTTGATAATCAATGGAGATACTATGTTTTTCGGTAAACTGAGAAATTCTTAGACTATTAATTGTTGCCCCAATTAAAACAATAATTAATTAGCATGAGTAGAACGATCTGAACGCAAGTTTTCCCAAAATACCCTTAAGAAAATATAATATTGTGCGAAAACTTTCTGGGATTTTTTAGACATTTTCTGAAAAACTTCAATCAAAATTGCGTTTTTGGAGCTCGCTTCCACTAAAAACTTTTATGTTTTGCCACCAAATGCGTCTTTAGAATTAAGCTCAGAGTCATTCGTTCAAAATGGATGTCATGAGTTAGTGCCAAAGAGGGACTTTGGGTTGTGAGTGAGTCAAATCCATGAGGGGGAGCTTCGTCTAACCACATCCCCCCACCTCGTCTCTTATATACTCTACCGAGCTTATGTAATTAGTAAGTTAGCACGTTGTTACATAGACTCATTTCCCGGTTTTCAAGTTTTACTGATTACTGAGTAAAAAATGAAACACTAATCATGTGCTGATTTGAACCAAAGTGATTGCTAACATCTTTTGAAAATTTTAAAGGAGAGCAATTTCGTCACAAATTATTTACTTTTTTCACTCAAGTCTTCCTAACAAGAAATTGTTCCTTTTCATTGTTTTTTATATAGCCTAAAGCTCCACCACTCAACGAAACCTTAAAATCAATGTAAAGGAACCGCTGAAAGCTTTGTTACCTTTCTATTAATGATTTAAGCGCTCATAGTTTGTCAGAAAAGAGTAAGTTAACTTGACATGAACCACCAATAGCCCCCTTCCCCCACCCGTCTCACCACTTGAACCAAGCCTCCACCTGAACCAAGCCGGGTGGGGTACTGGTTCAAATTCAATCCGAGTGAGGTAGTGGTTGAATCAAGTAGCGTGGTGGGAGGGGGGGGGGGGTGCTGGCGGGGGTAATTGAACAACAACTAACAACCAACTGTAGTTTGAAATGTGGAAAACATATTATGTTAAAATTCGTTGAAATTCGCATCTCAAGTGGGAAAAATCGATTATAAGGCAATTTCATTGTCGTAACCTATAAAAATGAAAAATATTCGATTACAATGGACTTCGAAATGAATTTTAATGCTTTACTAAATAGAAACAATATATTCCATTTTTAATTGAGAATAATCGATTAATTTTTCAATTTTATAGACACTGACAAAAAAATTCAAATTTAATCAATTTATATCCATGGAACTCCAGTGCGGGCTCAGTTGTCTCAAATAAAAGTTGAGCCGCATCGATTAGACAATACTAATGCAACAACTGAAGTTTAACTGAGACAAGGAAAAATTTAATATATCTACATATTTTCAAGAAGTCAAATATTGCTGATCACTAAATTTTACTTTTCTGGACAACTAATAGACTTCATTGGAATTCAGCAAAAGCCGAGAACCGTGAAATCGTTGCCCGCATGATCCGAAATTATTTTTGCTGTTTTTGTCAATTTCCAGTATTCTGTGGCGGCTGCACCTACTAGTCAATGAGTCTTATATAACTTGTAGTATTGAGTAATTGTTACCACTTTCGAAGAAAAATTTTTGTTTGTTGTGGTTTTTTATTCAGTCAATTTTTAGTGATCGAAATAGTTTTTAACAAAGAGTTTTCATGCAGATTGAAGATATTGACTCCCTTAAATCAAATAAAAAAAATTTTTACTTTTCGATCGCTTTTTGTTAAAATTTGAAAGTTTTAAAGTTGCTAATTTGATAATGCTCTGGTATAATTTATGCGCACTTTGAAAATTTTACTCTTAATCCTGAAAGCGCAACGCGAATTATTTATGCGTCGCGAACTATCCCGCACAAAAAATTTGTTCCCAATTGAATGGAGGCTAGCTAACTGGTCGTATTACTTTTGTCCGGCTCAATTTTTTCACACTTGATCTTTGATATTTTCCAAAAAAAATTTTCAATATTTTTCAATATTTTTTTTCCTAAAATTCTATTCGATATAAATTAAAGAGCACTCGGAGCATTCAGGGTTTTGCCTTGATATACGAGCCTTATTTTTGTACATAATCTAGAGCTAAGAAAACGCAGGGCAATGGCATCCGAGTTCGCAAGAAAATTTGACAGGTTTTTTCACAATGAAAATTGCAAAACGAGAAGCTAAAATAATGTAGTTTTTATAAAAAGTAGCTTGCAAAGTTTGGATGCCAAATTGATGCAGAACTCAAAATGCTCTACTTTGTAAGCTTTGGGCTTGGTATCACCTTATATTCCAGAGCAATCAGGGCTCTAACTTGTTCTATTTAAATTTCCGGACTCAATTCATTGTTTTGACAACTGAAAAGGCGAAGTGTCTTCGGATATGTTTTAGGCTTTCCATTTTTTTCTTTGCAGAGTCAGCGGCCATAACAATTTATCACAATGGTTTGAGTTATATATCAAATGACAGCCCTTTCAGCCTTGAATCGATCGACATCAAGATTTTTGTAATTTTGTTTTATTGTTAAATTTATGTTTGCTTTTTAGTCTAATTTTTCACTTTTCTTGGCAATTAGTTTTGCTCTCATAGGTATAGTAATGTCACAAAAAACTTTTGTTTAGACCGCGAAATAACAGTTTTCGAAGTTTTATGACACTTCATTGGCCTTGAAAACTTTTCAAAAAAAAACAGTTTCAAAAAAATTGTGAGAAACTCAAAAAAAAAACAAAAGCTTTCGTTTTGTTCAAGCCATGACTCCAGTCAAAAGCACTACACAAACTTGGAAAAAAGGTAAATTATTATTTTTATAAAAATTTTATTCATTATGTATTCGGAACTTTCTGTTGTATTTGCACAGCAACCATCTACTCTTGTTTTATATAAACTATTTAAGTTCTGTATTAAAACCCCTTCTCCCCCACCAGATATAAACATCACTTTTACGGTGTAATTACTCGTTTTTTGAGGTTGCACGTGAAGACAAACTGTGTTCGGACAAAAGTTATAATGTCACATTCTAATTTTTATGACAATTGGACAATGTGAACAAAAAAAGAACCAAAAAAACTTGTAGAAGTTACGGAACACGGCATGTGACCACTTTTTGGGAGTTCCGCGAACACTTATCAATCAGGATAGCTTGATTCAGTAGCGATTTTTTGGGGGGGGGAGGTAAAGCAGACGCCTCCGCCCTCACGGGTTCGACCCCCTGCCGACCCAAAGCCCCCCCCCCCTTTGTACTATTTTGAAATTCTATTTTTGGTGAGGTACCCTAAAGTTTTTCTTAAGGCGCCTTTGGCAATTTTTTGGTCAAAATGGCAATTTTTTGGTCAAAATTTTCCAAAAAAGACCTAAAAACGCCTTTTTTGGCCTGTTTTTTTTCAAAAACTTGCTGCTGAAAATTTGGTCAAAATGGGGGTCTTTATACTGATTTGGTCGACCTAAAAAAAGGTTTGGAAAATCCGCCCCCCTCCCCCCTCGAGAAAATCCTAGATCCGCCCCTGGCTTGATTGTTATAACAACTAATCTACAAACTAGACGCAAAGAAAATTATTTATGCAAAATATGTTTATCTTCAATATTCTAGTCATAATTTAATCGCAGGAAGAAGTTTCAATCATGCTTTGAAAAATCTGCAAAAATTTGGGAAAGAGATACAATGTGTTCATGATTTTCTCGTGGATAAAAAAGTTTGTTCACATGGCCTTCAGTGACCTTTCGGTATGTTGACTTGATTTCTGGCTTCATAAATGAGTACAATTGTGGCCACGAGGATGATGACTATGGACAGTATGGCGAACAGACGATCCAGCACTCTGGCAAGAAAGTGCCACTCCTCAATTATATCATTCCTGTCCGATTCGTCCTTGCCTGAAGACTTATCCACTAAGGTGTCTAGCCTGAAATGGTAAATAAGAACTTGATGGATTAAATGGATAGCTTACATTTTTAATTACATACCAAGGAAAAGGGATTCCATTAAAAAGCTCCACGTGAATTTAAAAGTTAAGATGTCTTCAATTGCATGTAATAAAACATTTAAGTTTAAAAATGTCTAAAAAAGAATACGACAGAAAAAAATTATGGTATTTTATTACGGCAAATTTCATATCTTAGTTTGAATTTAATTTTTTTTTAATTAGCGCTTGGTACATTTTTGTTGAGCGTTTAAATCGAAAATACGGAACGAAGTTATTCCATTTTTTGAAACAGATATAGAACTTGATTTGAGATACAGAGTTCGATTTCAGTAGCTTTTTTAACACAGGTCCGCGTTTTATGTCCAGACTATTGCGACCAAAATTTCGCATTCTCAGTCTTTTGCGACTAAAAGGATCCGTCGCGACTTTGAAGACCAAGACGGAGACGGCGCAACTCGACTTTCGCGACAAACATTTGTGGTGCTTAGACTTTTGCGACAAAACTTGGCCGTTTCCAGATTTGTGGCAGCCAAAAACTTCCTTCGTGATTTAGCAACCCAGAAGGAGACGGCGCGACCAGTGCAAACCAGGAAGTGGTACGACAGCAAAAGCAAACATTGCCATTTCCAGACTTTGGGAACCGGAAAGATCCGTCGCGACTTTCGCGACCTCGTTGGAGACGGCGCAAACGTTGTGGCTAATGAAACCAGTCTATCACCACCGAAAATATCGGAGTGATTTTTGCGACCATGATTTAGACGGCGCAATTTCTGCGGCTCAAGTAACCGTCAGTAATTCAACCATGAGCTTAATTTAAATCAAAATTTTGATTGTAGTTATAATATTGACAACTGTTTTTAGTTATTTTTCGAAGAATCCAACGATTACTTTATCTCTGCTGAAAAAATATGGATATAATCGCATTCACCCAATGCGTAAAACAGCACTAGTTGTTTACTTTTTCCAAATATAATTACAGTGTCTGAAAATTTGATTTCGGTAGTTTTTTCTAACAGGGGTCGAAATCTGGGTATTATGTCTAGACTATCTCGGTCAAATTTACGCATTTCCAGATCACGATCATACTCTGGCATTTTCAGACTTTCATTTACAAACTTTGGCATTTCCAGTCTTTTGCGACCCAAATGATTCGTAGCGCTTTTATCATCTCCCAGAGTTTCAAGTCCAGAGACGGGGAAGGCAACACCGTCACCGGTATGCAACAACGCCACCTGCTTGTTCAATATTGGCCCTGCCCAAGTTTTTGCGACTGAAGACATCGGTCTCGACTTTTGCTACGCAGGGAACAGTAACACCGGCTCGAACCGACTTGCAACAGCGCGATGAACGTCGGTTCTGATTTGAGTTTATGCAGTTCAAAGAGAATTTAAATGCAGTTCTTATCTCGCAGGATAAAATTTTCGTTTTCAGAAGAGCTAATCATCATGAGTTTTAATGTCAGATGATACGGCATAAAAGAGTAAAACCGTTTGAAAGCTTTTCTTCTTGCTTCAAAACATATACTCAACAGACAATTGGAAAAGATTCAACGAAGACAAGAAAACAAAAAACTTTGTTTAAGATCAGGTAATTTTTTTCCAGAACTTCAAAATTGCGCCAATATGGCATGGTTGCGATTGTATGTCCAACTTTTTGCGGTTTGATGTCCAGACTTCATGTCCAGACTTTGGCTCTTTTCCCTCTCCTCCAACCCCCCCACCTCACACGACCATCAATTTTATGCTGTAACGAGTGATTTTCTTTGGCACAGCTTAATTATTCCGCATGTCAATTTTCATAACGATCGGACTATGTGAACAGCAACTTTACCAGTAAAAAATAGCAGGTGGGGGGGGGGGGGGGGGAGGAAAAAGATCCCAGACTTTATGCGCATTTTACCAGAACTTTGCAACTTAACAGACTTTTGCGACTTTATATCTAGACTTTCGCGATCAAACCGACCGTGGCGCGACTTTGCGACGTTAGGTCCTGTTTTTCCAGACTCAACCATTCGGTGCGACTCTGCAATTTGAGTCTGGATCCCGACGGGCGTAACTTTCAATGTCTGGCAGCTCGACCCGGGAAATGTCATTCAGGGAAGTACAAATTAAATTATCAAGTAAAGACAGATATGGCCCATAATGATTTTTTGTCACCTTTTTAGAAGCTGATCGAATCCTCTCAAAACAGATTTCAACTCCGAGCTGCCATCTTGCTGTCCTCCAGGGGAATTTTCCACATTACGGCTCGACTGATTCCACTTACTATGTTGCATAACAAAACTCTTGTCATTACGTAATACCTGACACTCGGCCTCTATTCGGTTAAAGTTCATCTCGTGTGAGAGATAGTTTATATTCACATCCGAGTGATTTGCAGGATGCCGCAAGGTAGAGATCCGTTCGGGTGTTCGGAAAATGGGCACGTCTCGCAGCTCGGGGTAATATTCGCGACAATGACCGTTGGTGAAGTCGAAGGCGCTGTCGGCTTTTACAGTCGAGTAGACAGTCGTCATTCGTTGCTTGCTGGTTTTTGAATTAGGTCTCGTTGCTTTTGTTTTCTCCTCTTTTTTCCGAGTCATGAAAACTAGTCGTCCAATGCAGTCGAAGAAAATGAAGGTTATCTGCAGCAAAAACAAAATGAGACCTTAATGAAGCAGGGTTTATATGGTCTGCTAGAGCTTGGTACAGTATATGACCCATAAATGGTTGATTTCAGTTAAAAATTCAAAGTGTAATTAGGTTGTTGGTTGATATCTGGAACAACATTGTTCTCAATTTTTAGGGTTGGGATCATATTTTAGGCACTTTAATAATAATAAGTATGGTTCCTGCGAATTGCAGAGGAGTGATCGATAGGTCATAAAAAATTGCTCTGTCTAAGGATAGTTCACTTTTTGTATAAAATTAAAATAGGTTTTATGAAACATTAATGAAATAAAATTTGTGCTTGATAGCCTTCAGTTATGGGTTATGTCTGAGTTTATCAAAAAAATATACCCGGGTTGACCAAAAATGCTGGTCATACAATTTTCATACATGGAAAAATGCTAATCATACACTTTCCATACAATTCCATAAGTACAGAAAAATGAATGAAAGGTCTATGATTAGTATTTTTTCATATATGGAAATTGTATGACTAGCATTTTTCCATAAACCAAAAATATTGATGTTTTACATTTTAATTTCTCAAAATTACTTGATTGTGTTCGTAACCGAGCACAAATGACATAAACCTCGGTTACTCAAACGTAGTAACCAAAGGTTTGGCCGTCTCGCATTAAAAAAGCATTGAAAGCAGCCTGCAATGTTTGAATTATGTGTCACACAAATAATATAACGAAAGTAATGAAATTTTAAATTTTGGCACAGATTTTCAAAGATGACTATTTCTAAAATTTGAATTTTTAAATTACCAGACATTGATCAAGGCATAGAAAAATATGTCATACAAACAAGAGGAGCTTTAAGCGTTTTTGAAAAAAGTCCAATATTAGTATATCCAGGACTCGCTATACACACAAAAAATGTTTGTTTGAGTACGAAAAACAATTTGCGGTTGAAAAAAAAGCACAAAAAAATGTAGTACGATACACCCTACGATACATTTTCTTTTTTATGTAGTACGATACACCGAATTTTATGCCAAAATAAGAAAAAAGTTTTTTGAAAATTCGACGACACAATTTTAGCAAAATGTATGAAATTTGTATGATTAGTATTTTTTCATAAACTAAGTTTATGGAATTGTATGATTAGCATTTTTGGTCTACGGAGGTCAACCCGGGGGTCCCTATTTGAAAATTTGCTTCACAAAGCGACAACTAGACAACCTGTTAAGTAGACAGATATATATATTAACCAATCACAGCGAGATAAGATATAGAATTTGTCTACGTGATGACTTTTCTACTTAAATGGCTGCCTGATTGAGCCCAGAACTCCAAAGATTTGTTACGCGCATGAACTTACAATTCTGGGTGGTTTGGCGGCGTTGGAGTGTGGATTATGGACATTGAGAACCACGACTGTGGCCACTAGGGACATGGCCACCATACTAATAGAGATCAAATAGTACTCCCCTGCAACACACAAACTCACAAATGAAATTTCACATCTGACTTTTCAGCTATATAACAGAAAAACTAAACCAATAATTTTCAACCATAACAAGTTTGCTCGTGTATTAGGGCAAAGCCCTGAATGTCCCGTCTGCACTTTAGCGCAAATCAAAAGTGTTCTTTTTATTGTTGAAAAGTAATCGGAAAATTTTTTTTCATACTTTTTTTTCTTCAATTTGACCCACACAAGCAAAGACTAAAATATTTGCCTCCTATCAATTTGGAGCGGATTAATCCGCCGCTTACACCATCTGTCATAAGAAAGCAAAAATGCTCATTATTATCCCAAATTGACCAATTTAGCACCTTTCAAACCCCCATCTTTTACAAAAAAAATGATACCAGGTAATTGTTTCAACTTGAACTAAAGACAAAAATGCCATTCAGATAGCTTTAAAAAATTCTGTTCAGCTAAAAATTCCAAAATTTGTCTGAATAACCACCTCAAGCATAAATATTTATCTTTTTTTTCTGCGAAAGTCGGAATTAAAATAAAAATTTCCTAATTTGATTCGTGACAGAGAAAAATTAAAATCAGCCCAACTGATAACTAAGACTGCTCGTAAACCAGAGCTTAGCCATGAATGTTCCGCCTGCCCTTTAAAGCTGAAGAAAACGTTTTTGCTCAATTAATCAATAAAATAATTGAAAAATGAATGGTTTTTTCTTCGTTTTGAGATATTTTTATTCATCAACACGCTATGATAGACTCGAAAGGATGTATTTAGCGTCCTGTTTTGTATTGATAAGACCAATTTACTGGCTTTAATTTGATTTGGAATACGCGCGCTATATGAACTAGATTGAGCTCAAAATTTTGATACATTTCAGATAGTATAAAAAATTTGTGTAATGTATACTTGGTCGAATCAGAGATGTCCAGTCTTAGAACAACTATAAGCCCAACCCTTGGAAACTGTTTTCATTAAACAACGACCTGAGCAAGAAAACACAAAATGCCCACAAAATTTACAAGGTCAGAATTGTTTCATAAATTTAAGACTTCTAATAAATTTGTTAAAAACTAAAAATCAACGAAACTGAACAATGTTAAGTGATCTATAACTGTTCATTTGAACGTCGGATATCAATTTTACACTCATTTCATCAAGCAAAAACCGTGCTAAAAATCTAATTTAACTAAAAAGTACCATAGTACCATTTAACTAAAAAGTACCATTTAATTCACAATTTTTACCAAAAACTTTATATAATAATTGCACCTATAACAAGGATAGCCGATTACTGTGCAAGTAGCACAGAATGTTCCGACCATGGTCTTTCGAAAACTACAGTTTAGAAAGTTTTGTTTTCAAAACTAGTGTATTTTTTTCTGCTTGGTGTGATAAAAGGATCTAACATAAAAATATAATTTAGGCATATTAGACAGTCATATTATTACAGGCAAATTGTACAAAAATTTTTGTAGAAAAAAGACTAAAAAACTTTAAAAAAACTTTTCAACATTTTTTGCAGAAACTTTTTGAAATTTTTGAAGCTTTTGATTCCCAAAATGAAGTGAAAAAAACTCCAAAAACTTCATTCGCTTGACTTAAGACAAAAAAATCAAAAACTTCAAACCGTTTCTTCTCAAAATTGGGAGAAATTTTTTGAACATTTTTTAATGTGATTCGAATCACGACTGAAAGGGCTTTAATATGATATGTCACTCAAACCAGTCTGATGATTAATTGTGATTCCTGATTTTGCGTGGAAAAAAAAGAAAAAATCTAAACGCACCTGAATGCAAAGTGTCTCCCCATTTTTCAAATAGTCGGAACAATAACTAATATAATTCCAACTATAATAATTTTGGAAGACAGAATACATGAGATCTATTTAACAGTCTTTACCCTTTCAAAAAGGTAGGATATTGTTCAGTAGATTAAGTAAGTCGAACTTCTGACCAAACAGTATGCAGCAAAATAAGAATTTTCATTAGTAAGCTCTAGTGCTAAATTATTGTTTTCATTTTTAGGGAGATTCTTGAGGAGTACCATGGAGGAAAGGGGTGTTCAAAAGATTCAAATGTTTGTTAAATTTATATATAACATACAATTGGTAACAAATATTTGCATTATTTATTTATTTATAATTAATTATATTTTTTCGTATTATTTACTATGATTATATTTAGCTATTAAATATTTTTCTTTATTATATTATTTTTTAAATTATTTAGTACACCTATGATGGGTGTCTCGAGGGACGTTGCGGGCATCATCTCGGCGACTAGGAGCAGGTTGACGCACAAGGCCAGGAACACAGTGATTGACAACCCAATCTTCTCCCCACTTTCCGGCGGCAGCAGAAACACCAACGTCGCCAAAAGACTAAAATCAATCACAATGTGGTCGACACTAACTTCGAGAACTTCAATGGAGCTCAGAATGCAACCGGGTTTCATCCTAGACCCGCTCTGAATATCAAAACAGCGAGTAAAAACGCCTAGTTTGACTCAATTGACCTTCGATTAACTTCGATGACATGTCATACACGATTGAAAGCTACTTTATTGTTCTGAGTTTCAGTTTGCAAAAAAAATGACCAAAGGTGAAATAATTTTTTGATTTCGCGAAATGAATATCCAAATTTTTCGATCTGCATAAGAAAATGGTCGCGTTTTCAGAACGGTTGTAAGTGAAATAATTTTTTTTATTTTAAGCTCAAGGCACCACAAGCTTTCAGATGATATATAAAAACAGAAACTGTTAGTGAAAAGTCGAATTTCAGCTGAAGAAAAGAAGACCCCAGACAGAATAACCCGTCACTTTCTTCGGATGTTCAAAGAGCATGTCTACCTCCAGACTTTTATTCGTATAACCAAATACAGTGCTGATTTAAATTATCCGGACGAAATGAACAAAACTTGAATTTTCAAACGCGTTTTTCTCAAATTGGGTTAAGATTAGACAAAAAGTGACGAGGACAAAAGTTGCTTAGAATTTCACCAGAATTAATATGGTGCCATTTTTCTCCGAAATTCTCAACAAACATTTTACCCCAAAAATGGGTTATTTTGGCTTTTTTCAATTAATCAAGAATTACGCGGAAACTACTTAGTCAATTGATAAGAAAAATATATCACAGGAAGCCTCTTACGCAGCTCAACAAAGTTTAAAAAGGGTTAAATCTCCAAAAACCAGTATAAATGAAAAAAATTTCACTCGATAGTCAATAAATGTGATTTTTACTGTATAAAACCCAGAATCTCTGTTTAAAAATAAATTTTAAACAATTTGAGCAAATTTTTGGAAATTTAAACCTTCTTAAACTTTGTTGAGCTGCGTAAGAGGCTTCCTATGATATAATTTTCATATCAATTAACAATTAATTTCAGCGTAATTTTTGATTAATTGAAAAAAGCAAAAAAGCAGAAATTCTAAGCAACTTTCGTCCTCTTCACTTTTTGTCTAATCTTAACCCAATTTGAGAAAAACGCGTTTGAAAATTCAAGTTTTGTTCGTTTTGTCCGGATAATTTAAATCAGCACTGTATAATTCGCGAATTTAATTCAACATTCCTTGATCAATGCATAGTACTTTTTCAACATGCACCAGCAAGCATTCCTGAGGATCAGGAGCAGATCTAGGATTGTCGAGAGGTCGAGAGGGGGGGGGGAGGTGGATTTCCGAAAATTCATTTGCCGACATTTTTTAGGTCAACCACATTGAGTTTCCGAGCGCTCCTAGAATACTAGCAGACAGTATTTTGAATACTATAGCTACATGGGTATACATCGAGTACACTGGTTTTTAGTTGGCTACAATTTGTCTAGAAAATGATGATTGTGGAAAATGTAGATCATGAATTGGATTTTATGGTTCAATGTAATCGATTATTATCCTCGCAAAAAAAAACATTTAAAACCATTATAAGCTATTAAAATCAATTTCTTCTCCATATACTTATTTTTTTACACAAAATTTTTGAAAACGTGCAAAAAACACTTACCAGAAAAGATTTCAAACTGTTTTTTCTCGACACTGAAACATTTTTGTTGAAATTTTTTAAAGTTCGATCCACGACTGAAAGGGTTTTGATATGATATATCCTTAAACCCAGTCCAATGATTATTGTAGGACTTGATTTTGCGTGCAAAACAAAAAAAATAAAACACCCGAATACAAAGTTCCTTCCCATTTTCAATAGTCGGAACAAAACAGCACTCAAGTTTTTATCCTTTACAATCGATTCAAATAGATTTTTTGGGCTCTTTTTCCTTACCCCCCCCCCCCCCCACCTCACTCAAACATGAATTTTATGGTCTAACGAGCGGTCTTACAAGGTTAATTATGGAGACCAAATATGTTTGTCATGGCCTAACTAGTCTACACGCCAATTTTCATGACAATCGGACAAAGTGAACAGTAATTTCAAATATAAAATTTTGCAGGTGGGGGGGGGGGAAGGAAAAAGAGCCATTTTTTGAAAAGAAATTAGAAAACATTTGGAAATTGATTTATTATAATTGTTTAATTGATTTTTTTTTGCTTTGATAAACAGCATCATAACTTCATAATAAATTCATAAATTTCATAATATTTGGCCTGAGATAAAAAAAAATTGTTGGAAAGGGTTATAAATCTATTTACTTAGGAGGTCACTTGAGACTAGCACTCATTTATAGATACAGAAAGCATGGCCGCATACTCTTTTGATTAACCCTTTTTTCAGTTAATTTCTGCTCAAAAGTACTAAGAACCGTTTTACAGAAAGAAGCAATGACCGGTGTAATTTACCATCTTTTTATAAATGAGGATCGATTCTTTGAGCCTATCAATATTTTATGTCTACTTTCGATTGCTTCAGGACAAGTAGACAAATACAGCTGTTAAATTATTCTTTTTGTGCCGGAGTAATTTTGTCCATAAATACAAGTATCATGTACTTCAAATAATTCGATTTTTTGTCGTTTTTACTTCAAAATTGACACTGTGCTAACCTAATTCAATCTCATACTGGTCGAAAACACCAAAACAAAATATTGATTAGATCTAACATATAAAAAGTTTCCTGGAATTACAGTAAAAATGACCGCGTGTATAAAGTTAGGTACAAGATATATCAAATTTATTTAGAAAAAAAACACATCAACGCGATGGTCGGAACCTTTTGTAGCGAAGGAAAACGAATGAAAATGATGGTGGACTCGTACGGTTTAGGGTGCTATCTTTGCAGTCTGGAAAGTTGGAGTCTGCAAAATGGCTCTTAAACTGTATTTTTGAAACAAAACTTATAAAAATCTAGTTAGTCAACAAACTGTTGCAATAGGGTAAGTGAGCAATAGAACCAAAAAAGACTAAACTTTTGTATTATTTTCTATAATTTGAGTTTCATAAGGCAAATTAAACCACTAGTGCTCTTTTCTTTTGTAGCAATATATGATCGAAGTACATTTGTATTAACCCTAACTCAATACGCAAAAAACCAAATCAACGGATAATACTTTTAGTTTTGAGTTACCAATTGGGCGATTTTCAACTCAATGTTTGTGCTCATATTGAAATTGAACTCCCCTCGCAGAAATCAGGTAAATCGATCAGTTAAGAAAAAACAACCAACTAGTTGAAAAGCTATATAAATTGAAGCAAATCTATTTGTAAAGTTTTTAGTTCAGACTGGCTCATAAAAAGCCCGCAAAAGTATTCCCATTGATGCTGCCCATTGAAAAACTAACCTATGTCTTAAAAAGGAGGTGACAGAATTGAATGTGTATGACCTTGAATTAAAGAGACAACCCTGTAAACCAGTCAAAAAATGCAAGTGAAGTCGACTTTCTAAGTTGTTATCAAAATCTAAAACCTATTGCGAATAGTAAACAAACGATTTATTAAATCAACAATGATAACAAAATATGCAAATTTAGTCCCAAAATCAACTCAGAAAAAATTAATTTCAAAAACTTAAGTTCCTGGAGGAAAGATTGACAAAGGGTACACAATCTGCCCCCTAGACACCTATCTTACATTGATCAGTGTAAGTAGTATGCTTCATAAATAACAAATAAATGAACTCTGTCCAAATCACATACCTCAAAACGTTTACATCAAGTTTGTACAATAAAAAATTTTAGGGCACTATTTCAAACTAATGGTTCCTGAGGGAAGACCATCTATAGCAGTAGTGGATAACCTTCAGTGACTATGCTATTCGCATAGTTTGTTCATAATACCGCAGGGCCGAAGGTAAAAAATTTTCTGTAAATGCACAATTTCTTCTCATTAAGACCTGAAACTCGCGAGTCGTAGGCCCTTGTTACCGGGTCTGTTTTCAATTTTCTTGAATTTCACCCCTATAATAGTTACTGCTGCTTCCATCTTTGACATGTGCCCAGAGTCTCCATACCACCTGCGGGACAGGATGGTGACTTTTCGGACTGAGGACCTCCAACTGAGCTCATGCGGCAGTAACCAAAGTACAAGTTCAAAAGGTGTTTCAGTTTGCAAAAGGAAGCTGATACCCAAAATCAAGACTGTTTATAAAAGTTATCAGGTTAAAGTCATACTATTAATTACAATCAAAGACGTATTTGACAAAAATCATTTTACCTACCCAAAAACTTTCCAAAAATTAGACGCAAAACAAGTAATTTCTTAAGTTTTTAAAAATCGAAAAGTTTCAGGTAAAACTATATTTTTGCTCAATAAATTGAGAAGCGTAGCCCCTCTTTCTGAGAGAATGCGCTATCAACTTAATCAGTTTATTTTTACAAAAATGTTCCGAAAAAAAAGAATTCATATTTTCTTGCCATGTACGCAGAACTACATTTTGCTAAGAATGAATTTAGAAAATAAGTTGGAAGCATTTTTGTTAACAGGGTGAAAACAGAATTTGAAGAAAAAATCATGAAGATACAGTTTGTGTACTGTTAAAATTCTGTTCAAGTAAAAGTGGTTTGCAATTTGTCATATTTACGCTTGTACAAAATAAGACGCAAGATTTTTTTTGCATAATTAGAGTGGGGCTTGAGGCCAAAAAATTGGAACAAACAAATATTAATAGACCATATTGAATGATTCGCTTGATATTATATTTTTACTATTACAGGAACAGGTCGAGGAGCAAAATGTCGGAATTCGGAATTTTGAAAATATTCAACAATTTCGATTTCCAGTCTCATGCTACGGAATCAACAATGATCAAACAATGATAACGCAAAGTCACGAAGATTATATTTTGAAGTGACTACACTTCTTTATTAGGGAGGGGGCAACGAGGATTCTATTTTAATGTACAGGAGTGGGTTTGGGCAGGTATCGAAAGGGCGTGTGCGTGAACGCCTCTTTTGTTCAGGGATTCAAGGAGCTTACCACCTCACAACTCAAAAGACCCCTTTTGGTACTGTTTTATGCGACATAATTTAGCCGACCATTCCAAACTTTTTTTCTAAAAATGTCTTTGGTACAAAGATACTCCTAAAAACGCAATTTTTATCAAAAACTTTCATAAAGCGTTCTCAAACATCTTTATTAGTCTTTTCTTTAAAAAAAGTATCGTTGGCCAAGCAGTTTTAATCTAAGTTGGGTCTTTTTAGTGTTTTTGAGGACCTGCAATTGACTTTTGACAAGCTAAAAATGCGTCAAAACGTTTTAAAAAATGTTTTGGAAGTTTGAATTTACCTTGCAAAAACTTTTGATCCGCTGGTGATACTGTAAGTTTAGATCCGCTATATTTTCTAAGAATTAAAAACTTAAAAATGCTCCAAAATTGTAAGCATCTAATTTAGTCTTTTAATTAGTCACGATAGTCTAAAAAAAATGGTCAATATAGTATGAAAAAAATTGGTCGCACTAGTTTGAAAATTGCCCGCAAACAGTCGAAAAGGGGCGCGATACTCAAACAAGACGATGAATTAAACATCATGGGAAAAATCTAAGTGCAGAAGATTTGAACTACAATAATTATTGGATGAATAATCATAACCGCTCTAAGTATGGATCATGCATATATGATGCAAAAACTGAGCCCTGAATGTTCCGACTGATTTCATTGTCTATAAAAAACTACGTAGGAAAAATTAGTATGCCTTAAAAATTAGTAAAAACGGATGTCTTAAAATAGAGCCAAAAGGGGGACCCTTTGGGTCGTCAGGGGGTCCAATACCTGAGGAAAAACATGCGGCTCCACCAACCCCCCATCCCCATCCCCCCAATTCCGCTCCTGCCTAAATCGATAGAACAGAGCAGTGCATGGTTGACCCTTATCCAAAATTTTAAGGGCGAGGTCAATGTCCATGTACTTGCGCGTAGGTTCTTCTCCTACGTCACAAAGGAGAAATTAATTTTCACGCCCGCACATCATAAGTGAATTCAATTTGAAAGAAAGGTCCTCTTCAAGCCAATAAACCGTTATTAGTTTGTCTGTACTTACAGCTACTGAACGTATTGAAGTTATAATGAATAAATGGTTTTTCATTATTGGTTTTGAGGTGAGGATGGTCCTCCGAAGCTGATTACGTAATTTTCAAAAAATGACATCAAAGAAAGGTTACCAGAATAAATAAGAACGGATATGGTTTTAAAGGCACCAGATACGGTACTAAATAAAAACAGATATGGTTTTGAAGCACATTAACAAAAGACAGCTAATTAAAGTATTTTTAAGAACCGACCAATCAGCCTCCCCCTCCCACCTTCCCCCTCCCCCATCCCCCTTCTCTGTCAAAACCCTATACCCCCCCCCCCCCCCCACAATAGATCTACCAATATCTATTAACCTGATGAGGGCAGTGGGTATGACGATGTTCTTCTCGTAGAACTTGGGTCTCCTCTGCAGATGGACCGAGTAGGTCACGTCTGTGTATGGAATGTGGTCATACACAGCCCGGTTGAACTTGGCCACAGTGCCCACCAAGTGCCACTCCCCATTCAAAATGTAGTGGCTAAAAAAATCGCTAAATTTAATATTCAGATACTTTTAACTCTTTTATAATCAATGCCAATTTATACTAGCGTTTTTTTTGCTTGTGAGGGTAGCGTGTGTTTGCATGTCTGTACATTATGATGCAATAGTTGGTATGATAAAGCGTAAAGAAAAAAGCCAGATCAAATCGAAAAAAAAACTTTTGAAAGAAATCGGCGCCAATTATACTGTTTTTTTTTTTATTTCAGAGCAATCTCATTGTCTTTTTTCTGAAAAATAGGTTGCAGTTTTTTGCATCAACCAACTTTTTTAAATATAAATTGTAACAAATTTGTGTAATAACATTGGCAAACTAACTGACAGTGAAAAAAAAAATTGAAAGGGTCTGCTTTCCGCTCAATTTCAAGCACAGTTTTAGCGGTTTGAATGGTTTTTGAGCAGATTACGCTCAAAATTTTGCATGATAATGAGCGGCTGAAAAAAAATTTTGAGCGTTTTTTTTATACAAAGAGCGGTTTATTTTTTCAAAAACCGCCCAACGGTTTTGGGCGGTTTTTGGTACGTCATCAGTTTCACCGCTTTTTTTGCGATTAATATCAATTTTTTTATTCTGCAGTTCCTGCAAAGAGAAACTGATTCTATGAAGAGAAAAGGCCCAAAAACGACGTTTGGTTCTCATCAAAATTAAATAAAGTTCAAATAAACAACTTATACAAATTTTATAAAATAATTATTCAAGGCTTCAAAGGAAATTTTCACCGTTATGTTTAAAGGGAATAATAAATGCGCAAAGTTATGCAAAAAAAACGGAGTTGATGAAAAAGTTTTCGGGGCGCTTGCAATTCCTCGGGGCTCAAATTAATCTTGCCAAAATCATTAGGCGCCTTCAGAAAGTACTGGCGGCAGCTCTTTGAAAATATAGAAAAGCGTATAATTTCAAAAAAGATTCTGCTGGTTTAGATCGGAAACTAAAGTTTATATCAGATTCTTTTGGTTCTACTGTCTGGAAAAATGTTTTTCGGATGCGGAGTTTTTTGCAATGATTAATTATTTAAGCTCTTGGAACAATCAAAGATCTAAAAGCATGATAAAATTGACGTCTTGATTTCATATTTTTATCGAAGTAATACCCATCTGGTAATATTAGATAATTCATTTTTTGATAGTTCCTTTGAGCGATCATTTAATTTATAATATTTGCACTAGATTTTAAAAGCAAGGGTCAGTAAAATAATGAAAACTTTGATTTGCAATCTGAAACCGCTCAAGAAGTTTTTTGTTCTTGTTTTGTTGTTGAGTACCGTTGCAAAGTTTGCAATTCATTTTGCCTTTCACAAACTTTTTTGGTAATGTCAGAAACGCAAAACTAATAGAGATTCCGAAAAAGCTGATCAACTAAGGGAAACGGAAGAAAGAAAATTTTACGAAACAAACCTATCAAGTATTAGTCGAGCAGCTACGCCAACTGAATTTTATTCTAGTGCAAACGTACTCGCTCGGCAACCCAAAGATTTCTGGATCGATACTAATTAGCTGTCAAATTTCTTTAACTAATTAGTCTGAATATAAAAAAAAATTTATACTAGGCAAACATTCTTTTCCTTCAAAGCCGTAACAAAAATAAGGTGACTACGCAGAAATTCTTATTCAAAAATTAAGTTTTGAATCATCTTTTTTTCCCGACAATTAATTTGCCCTAGTATTATATTGTGTTCAGTAGTTTTGAAAAATTGCATAAGCAAAAAATACATTGAGGGCTTGAGCCAAGGGCGAAATTTTCCATGCATAATGCAATATTTTATGAAACTCTGCTTGAATTAAAATATAGTAGTTTCTTGTTTCCTTTTACGCCTCATTTTTTTCGTTTTATTTATTCAGGAGTAAGTTTTATGTTAAATTCTGGTGAAGTTTTTTTGTTCTCTTTCTTTTTGATTTTCAAAACTGCTCCTACTTGTTAGAAAATAATTATAGAGAATAGTGTCTTTTCTCGAGGGTAAAAACTTGAGAAACTATGAGCAAAATGATTTTTTGAGTTGTTTGATAATATCAGAAACGCAATTGTTCGGAAAAATGATGATCAACTCAAGGAAACAGACAAATTTTTTTTCAGATCATTTTATCATCCAAGTTAAACTGAGTATAACTTACGACCTTAAAAAGTTTTTGAGTGTGAAAAATTTTTACAGTTAAAGCTGTTTTGAAAAAGTCAACCGAACTTGACACAACTTGATCTTTGAATATTCTTATTCAACAAAAGAAACTAGAATCAGTTTTATTTGCTAATTAACTTCATTTTATCTAGTCGAAAATTGACCTTTATAAAAAACGTAAGCCGCAAAAATGATATTATGAGTGAATATGACCCAATTCATTTTTTAATGCTTCCAGAAAATAAAATTAATTGATTCAGTATGTGGAAGTTCTTTTCATTCATCATCGCTGAAAAATTTTTGCATGGTCTAAAAAAAGTTGCGAGGCATTTTACTTAAAAAATCCAAAATTTTGAGCCATAAAAAACTCTAGCTAAAACTGAAATACGCTATGCAAGAGGGCTAGAAGTTAATTATAAAAAAATATATATATATCGCTAGAATAACCTCGAAATTTTTTTATTTTAAATGTAAATTTTGAACTGCCAACATCAATTGAAAACTGCTAAAAATATAACAAAACTATTCAGCGTTGTTTCTGTTTTGACGAGTTATGAGGTCAGTGAGTTTGTCCCGCATGCAAATTTCACGAAACGAACCTATCAGGTTTTAGTCGAGCAGCTACGCCAACTGCATTTTATTCTAGTGCAAACATACTCGCTCGGCATCCCAGAGATTTCCGGATCGATACCAATTAGCTGTCGAAATTCTTTAACCAATTAGCCTGATAAACACACACTAGGCAAACATATTCACTTTCCTTCAAACAAAGTCCGATTTTTAAACCAGCCAGTTTTGGCGATTTTTTTTATATACCAATTGAAAAATATTTGTCCTGGGCTCAAATTAAAATTTTTTTATCTGTGGTCATTTTTTTGCAAAATCAGGAAGATTTGAAAGTTGTCAGCTCGGGATTATTAGCGATTACTTACAATGGTTCTTTACAGGGATTTGTGATTATTAACGCGATACATGGATCATTCTTGTAATGCGTGACCGGCTACTTATTCCATCTCAGAAATTATTCCAATATATTTGAGACAAACTGTTTGGAACTTTAAATAAGTTACTAGACGGTATTTGCAACAATTTGTAATTTACATAGCGGATAGGTGGAATAGTTTTTAAAAATAAACTGGAAAAAAATCATTATTAGAGACATAATTAAAATTAAGTTATTTAAAATATGACTTAGTCTTTAAGCTTTAAAGAAAAGTCAATACCTTCAGAGATTCACCTTGATAGAAGCAGTTTTGTTATCAATATGATTAGTACGACTAATATTATGATGATTTCTGAATCGAGTGGTGCTCGAGGTGGTTTTTTTACTCCGAACAAACTTCGATTTCTTTTCCATCAATTTTTGCCGGGAATGCTGTTATTATGTTTTATAAGTTTGTGGGGGGGGGGGGGGGGGGGGGGGTAGGACAGTTAACGCGCGATATGTTTCGGCTACTAACGCAGAAGTGGATAGTTCATCTGTCTAAGAAACATGATAATTGGTGAATTTAAAAAAAAATCAAAATTGCTTCATTTTAACCATTTTTTTTACAAAGTGAACACTACTCCGTCGTTTTCGAAGACATTCGGACTGCCCTGATAAGTTTTGGCCTGATAATTATGATTACTATGATTATGACTTCGAAGAATGTGACAAACAATTTGAGCTCGAAGTGGTTTTTCTTATTGGACAAATTTTGATTTTTGATCAGCCATTCATCGGCTATTTTTGACAAAAAAAAATTTAACATCTTAATTATATTGATATCACGAACTTTAATTTTAAAATTTGTTTCATCCGTGATGTTTTATGAAATCATGCAGGTCTAAAAACTACTTCCAATTTGGGATCATTAACGCGCGATATATTTTGGGCTACAGATGCTAAAACGGCTTTTTAATTTGGCTTAGAAAATATTCCATTTTGAAGAGACGTAAGCGAATTATTCTTACTGATACGTTACTAGGTTCTATTTAGGCAGGTATTTTTGACTACTGCAGATCTTTTGGAGTGTTTGTTAGATAAGATGTGTCAAGTCCACCGTTGTTCGAGTAAACTTAATCTTTTTTGAAATTCAGAACCAGCTTGTCACTTTCGAGTTCACGCCTGATTTACTTATTTGTTTGCACGGGTCACAAAGATAAGGTAGCTGGGCGAAAAAAAAGATAAATCTATTTTCCACACACAATGACCAACTTAGGAAATAAGATCAATAAAAAAGACACATGTTCCCAAAAAGTCTTTGGGCTTAAGCTTAGGATAAAAAGATGTTTTTTTTTCTGGTGATTCAAGAGGTAAATTTTCTCCAGGTCAAAATAGACAAAAATCTTTCGGTTCAAATTTAGAACTATGAAAACTTTTTACTGGGTGAAATTACCAGTTTTTCAGTCGCAGACGGTTTTTTTTACATAGTACCGTTTTGGGCGTTTTTGAAAGGATATACAGCAAAATTTAAGGGAAAAGTTCCTTTTCCTTTAAAATGGCTGCAAATTCTTGGGAAAAACTTCTTTTTGGATCGACTTCTAGTTGTTTTTTTCAGGTTCACACTGAGCAATTTTCATGTTCATGTCAATGGTCGAAAAATTAAAAGTTAATGGTTATTTTTGTGTCCTGTGACAAGAAGCGAAAAAAAAAACATTTTAAGTTACAAACTGGTCCCAATATATTTGTTCATAAATGACAATTTTTCCCCAGCCAATTGATGCTGTTATTGATTTGATTGACTCGACACTTCACAATATGAAGCTTGTAAGATTTCCCTATTTGTCGATCAAAGAAGGCCTTAAAATTCTTCAAAATTACTTTTTTTTAAGGGACCAAGTGTGGACGATTCCCCTAATTGAATTATTTTATTTGTTAGGGGCGGGAGAGATAGTTCAACACTTTGTCGTTGATGTGGGGGAGTGGGTGGGGGATCGCGGTCTATTTTATGCGGGACCGGTCACATTGAGGGGGGATAGTTTTTAAGGACCTTCTTAAGCATTTAAATTTGTCGCCCATGGACGATAAGGAATGGTAAATAACACACTTAATCGATCAGAGGGTCTCTTAACTCATTAAATGTTCCTGACTAGCCACTCAGTTATTGACTTTATGGTGTGAGCGCAGTCTGTGAATTGAAGCGAACATGATTGATAATTTTTTCCTCCTCGCCTCCCCACTGGACGGAGAAAATATTTGTTCACAGGTGACAAATTCAGCTTAGGCATATGAGGTCTGGTTAATCGAGCAACTACAAAGTTTATTGAAGTCAAAAAGATATTGTTGAAAACCAAAAGGTCGTTGAATCTCGGCATGTTTTGACCAAATTTAAAGGCAAACCTTTTGCTAGTTTTTGGGCTTTTTTGGGACAAAATTTAAAGGCAAAATTTTTGATAGTTTTTGGGCTATTTTGGGACGAAATTTAAAGGCGAAATTTTTGTTAGTTTTTGGGCTTTCGCGAACTCATGACTCAAAAAGATGAATTTATCGGACATAATTCTGGGTGTTTCGAATGTAATTGCCCAATACTTGGAACCCCAAAATTATTTGTAGGTAGCAGCGTAGAAAAATTGAAACGAATAAACTTATTTTGTGGATATATTTAAATTATCTAGATAATTTTGATAACTATCCCCCTATTGCAATTGGGAGATATCCATTACTAGTTACAAAATTCACCTATACTTAACCGATAAATAATGAGTTGATGACAGGGTGAAGATTTATTGCCGATTTGGAGAATTAATACCAATTTAGGGGGGGGGGGGGGGGTTTGTCAAACACTAACTTTTCGTCCATGAATCCCTGGTTGTTGTTGATTGTGATCTCATTGGCCGAATGGATCCACGAGCCGATCTTGATGTCACATCTTTGTCTGTCATAGGGAAAGTGCCTGAAAAGAAATCAACTTCGAGTCTAACTGGTTTGTGGGTATCATAGCTAACTTAGTATACGATATTTATAATACCCAAAAGGTTGGAAAAAGGTTAAAACATCCGAAGAACAGCTTTATTGGTGCAAAGGTCCGAAAAAGTTCTAGAAAACTATTTTCAAAAAGGTGAACCGGCTAGCTGAACTTTTTTTCAACTTGGACGTGATAATATTGCGTAACTAATAAATCAGTTCACGTATTTGCACTATCGGATGTTTGAAACATCGAAGTATTACCCTAGCACCACTGATTATTTTCTGAACGAGTTTTCCATTCCAGGCTAAAAAAAATTATTCAAATTTTTAAAGCAAATTTTGACTTGTATCTTCTGCCAAAGAACAATTTGCTATTTCCACGACCCTCGGAGAAAATTATATAACTATAATACATCGTTTTCTACGAGAGTCGTTGAAAAAATTAATAATAATTCCTTTTTTTGGCAAAAAAACAAACATATGGCGTAGGGTGGATTTTTTGCACCAATCAAAAATTTCCAATTAAAAAAATCATTTTGTTTTATTTCATTTAATTTTTTTATGTTATTACTGCTCCATAAACCTTAAAAGGCAGTCGGAACATTCAGGACATCGCCCTGATACAAGCAGCCTTGTTATCTTTTGTTTCAAGAAATCATTGAGCGAATCTTTTGTAAATCTGACGTTGTTAGCAATATTTATCAATTTTTTTATTGTATTCGTAAACCTGGGTGATACAGTTTTGTTTAAAATTTTGCTAAATAAGTTTTTTCTAAAAAAAATGTTGATTGGATGAAAGGTTTTACTTGAGATGTTTAGACTTGCAGTTTTAAAGTTTGCGCGCTGTTTTGATTCCTATGTGGCTAATCTTTTTTTTTGTTTCGGCTTTAAGAAAAATTTTAGGAATTTACTGGGGTGGTTTTTATTCAGATCACATTCAGTAACAGAAACTGTAGGTTTGAATGAAAAAAAAATCTACCCCAATAAAATTATTGATTCCATGAACTCAATTGTGAAAAAAAATTCAATCTACAACCTATTTTGATAAAAGCCAGGGATTTGAAAGCTACTAGCTTGCCAAAGATCTCGGCAAATTTTTGCGCGCCTTGGGGATTTTTTTAAACATGATTCTGAAAATTCAAATGCAAATTAAAATAAGGCCAACATTTTTGCACTCAGAGTCGTTCCAAAACGAACAGAGGGCAACTAATTAATCATAAAGAGCGCTGGCAAAAAAGAGACATTCCTAATACCATTCTAAGCTCATTTTTATTAGTCAGATAAATTACTCAATTTTTACTAATCGAAATTCTGAAAGCAAAACAAAACTTAGAAAAGCAAGTAAAAATTAACTATTTAAATAATAGTAATGTAAGATCAAGCCGATCGAGCACTCCCCGACTTGTATTGGATTGAACCAAAGGCTAATTGCCGCATTTAGGATTATCATGCCCACGCAAAACTGTAATGGCTAGAACAAAACACTTGCCGCTCTAGGGAGCGAGAATTTTTTCTGCTAAGGAATTTAATACACTTATTACTAAGGGATTTAATACCACAAGCGAGCAAGCAACCTTAGAACAACTTAACCAACTATTTTTTTAAAACCCAGCTTGCATTTCATTTCATGCTTCATTTTTTATTACACGCGAAATTAGTTTCAGTGCTACAAAATAATGTATCCGATTAGTTTTTCGATCAGTGGAAAGAAAAGACCCTAACTATTGGTTAAGTAGCACTTTGCTCACTATTGGAACTACAAAAAGCAAATGGTTTAAACACCAAACCTGGAAGGAAGTTTCATTTTCTTTTTTTTTGAATGCCTACTGAGCAAAAAATTTTGCAAAAAAGATTCCTGGCATAATCAGTTAGTAAGACAGCAAAACTTCTTGAATTTTTTTTCTCTTTGGTATTCCGTTCTTGAAGCAGAAGCTGAAGAACACTAAGTGTTTTTCAAAGCTCGAATTGATTTTAAAAAAAATTTAATTTGAGTTTTTTTGTAAACACATCAACCCACACGTCATATTAAGTACAAATTAGGAGATTTTGCTCCTATTAACGAATCAATTATGGCATATAAGCTTCCTTGAACCAATTTGAACCGATATATGAGCGGATTAAATCTCCGCTTCCACGTTAATAGCACAAGTTGGCCAAAATGGCAATCTTTAACCCCCCATAATTTTACAAAAAAAAGATCACAGGTAGAATATGTTTTTAAATTTAAGCTCAGGACAACAATAGTTTTCGAATAATAAAAAAAATTCCGTCACAAATGGCTAGATAAAAAGTCAAAATTTGTCTGAAGAAAAAACCCACCGGAAAGTCGGAACAAAAAAGTGGTTTTTCAGAAAAGGACTTCAAAATTTGTAAGGGTTGTTTTCAAAGCAACATGATGCAGCCGCCGCTAAAAATCAATATTTAAGAGCATATTAATGAATTACTATTAAGCAAAAAATTGTTATAATGATACGACATTCCATGCTCTACGAGATTTTTTGAGGTACCTAATTATGCTTGAATGAAAACCACTTGGAATGATAGTTCTTCCTACCTCCTTATAAAGCTGATTGAAACAGCACTCCAAAAATTTTTTGATAGCTTCGTAAATTTCTAAAAATATTTTTAGTTAGATAATTGAAATAAAAATGTTTTCGGTGAAAAGTTAACAATTTAAGTAAGGAAAATGACCTCACGAAACAATTAAATTCCAGTTTTTTCTATGCTTGAATATTTCAGCTAACTTTGCTATTTATTTTACCAAATTATTACGTGTTTGCTTCAAAGTATCCTACAAAAACTTTATAATACTTTTTGCCTGGTTGAATCGCTATAAAAAATCTAAAAATAAATAACTGTAAATACTTTTTTTTGTCGATGAGGGGGAGGAGTCGTCGCCCCTCAAAATAACATTTATTGACGCTCGAACAAACTACCCATAGAAAATTTTAGGGTTGCTCAGCTTAAACAGCATATCTTAAAACAATATTATCAGAGGATCCCTTAAGAGGGTAGTCAATGGTTCAAATTCTGATGCCGGAATCCGTTACATCCGCCGCCTTCTCTCCGAGATTGCTACTGAACCTAATGAACAGCTGCTTGTTTCGAGTTTTTTTTCCTATAAACCGTAAACCGTCAGCAGTTTCAACTGGAAACTTAATTGTTTGGTGCAAACTAAAAAAAACATCGAAGGGTAGCCGATTGCTGTGCAAGTAGCACAAAATGCTTAGACCACATCCTCAGAATTTTTTTTCTTCAGGTGAGTCACTTTTCTTGTACTTCCTGTGATGATAAAACTGAACGAACGCGTAAACTTTTAGTGAATTAGGCGTAAGAGACTCCTTTGATTTTGAGAGCATAAACAACTCTTTTCAGATTTTTGATTTTTTTGCCAGAGCAGCGCTAGATAAAGCTTCCAAAACTAGTTTTGCTTTTAATAAAATCTGTTTTTTTAGCCTAAATTTGTAATTTTCTTTTTTATTCGAGTTTTATTCGATCGTTTTACTCGCTCGAAAAAAGACGAAAAATCAAAAAATGCAAACCGGTAATTCTCGAGACCCGAAAATGTTTTGAAATCACGACTAAAAGAGCTGGGATATGATATATCATTCAGCTCAATTCGATGATTATTTGTCGTACTTGATTTTCCGTGAAAAAACACTAAAGCACACTCGAATATGAAGTTTCTCCCCAATTTCAATGGTCTGAACAAAAACAGATCTGCATGAGTGACTGCAATTTGTTTTAGTTGTTATTTAAAAACTAAAGCTAACTACGATGAACTTAATTTGTTCATTTTTTCAATTTTGACAAGTTTTTAGGCCAAAATTAATTAAATTACAATGTATGGGCCATATGTCAGTGAAGTTAGCAGCAGTCACAATTTAGATGATACTGTACTACACTCGATTAGGCAAAAAATTCGAGAACATATGCTCAGTGATTATAAGTGCTATATTTTTATAAATTGGTATAACACATATTCTGCTGCTGACATAAATGAGCTCAACTACAGTTTAAATTCATTGTTCTAAAAACTAAAAACTCGAGTAAAATATAAGATAATAATCCATTTAGTGGCTAAGTTTCAATATGGCTTATAAATAAACTAACATTCGAAGTAAACTTCAATTTTTGAATTTTCTTTGCATTTAATTTTCAGGTACTCTGAGATTAATCTAGCAAAGAAAATTTTGATTTTCAAAACTCGAAATTCGTCAAAATTGTGGCTGAACAGCATTTTCCTTTGAGCCAATGTTTTGGAGAACAAAAATGTGCATGAACGGAGCGGTCCAGTCTCCAACTTTCATGCGGCCTCGCTCATAAGAACCGAGAATTTATGAGTTGCCATCTTCACATAATTAAAGCCAGTGTGTGGTTTGTCCGCTTCGAAATGTGTCCTCGGAATATTCTACATATATTTTCATGTCTACCGAATGGACCAATTTTTTAGGTAGAAGTTTTTGATTTGATATGTATACATGTTTCTAAATTAACATTTCAATCTACACAATATTTTCGGCAATTTTTAAACTTCAATTCAACTTGAAATTGGTTAAAATTTTGAGGTAGAATGAGTACTTTTTTTATTCCAATGCATTCTCAATTCGATTCTCAATTTTAGTTTATGAAAAAAGAAAAACAACTTGACGCCAAACATTCTTAAAAGACTCATATCAACAAGATTCTTAAGATAATCCTTACATGAAAGCTCCAATTGATTGATCTGAATTAAAAATACTTTAAGATACACCTGCAAAATTTATGATATAAAATATTCATTCAAAATACTGTTTAATTTACCAATACCTTTGTTTACTGCAATTTTGCCTAATCTCTAAGAAATAGGCAAAATACAAGTACATTTTGTGCCCAATTAATAAATTTTGCTAGATTAAACCAGATGCACTTGATCCTTCTGTTTAGTTGTCAAATAACACAGTAAAGTAATGGTTCTTATTGGTTATCAATCTGCTAGAAATTTCG